GAGCCACTCAGAGAACTTTCAAAGAAAAGTGTTGAATTCCACTGGACAAACACGAAAAAGCGTTCAACAACCTCAAGTATCAGCTATCAAACAGCGACACACTTCAATACTACGATGTAACAAATCCTGTGACACTACAAGTAGACGCATCTAGGAAGGGACTAGGARCTGTTTTGTATCAAGACAAGGGACCAGTCGCCTACGCATCGAAAGCAATGAACGATACACAGCAACATTACGCGCACATTGAGAAAGAACTACTTGCAATTSTGTTTGGTTGCAAGAGATTTCACCAGTATATTTACGGAAAGCACGTCGTGATTGAAACAGATCACAAGCCGCTCGAGGCAATATTCAACAAACCACTATCACATGCCCCATCAAGACTCCAAAGGATGCTAATACAATTACAAGATTATRACATTGAACTCGTGTACAAAAAGGGTACTGAAATGTACATAGCAGACGCCCTTTCTAGAGCATTTCCGCCGAAAATCATCATCGAGGACTTCGAAAGAGAAATTGCTGAGGACAAATTGTTCATCTWATGTCATYAACAGCGTATGTAACAGACCGCAAAGTAGAAGAAATCAAGGAGCACATGAAGAGTGACGATAGGATGCAATTATTAATCAAAGAGATTAGTCAAGGCTTGCCCTCGGACAAAAAGTTGATATCTCCAGAAATCAAAGAATACTATCAACATAGAGAGAAACTGAGTGAACACGACAGTCTTGTGTACGCTGACCACGCAATATTAATACCACCAACTCTACGTAAGGATACACTTGGCAAGCTACACAGATCACACCAAGGAATTGAAAAAACAAAACAACTTGCCCGTCAAACCATTTTCTGGCCTGGAATGTCGACACAAATSGAGGATACGGTATCCAGCTGTCCCATCTGCCAACAACACAGAAATACCAACACAAAGGAACCTTTACACCCACACAGCGACCATGGCAACGCCTATCAAAGGACCTGTTTGAATACAAGAAACGACCGCACCTTGTATTAGTCGACTATTACAGCCGCTATCCAGAGGTCGCTGAGCTAAGAGACATGAAGAGCAAGACTGTCATTAGCAAGATGAAGTCTTTCTTTAGTAGACACGGCATACCAGATGAAGTCGTGTCGGACAATGGACCTAACTACGCTTCACAAGAGTTCGAAGAATTCGCACACGCTTACGGATCCAAACACACAACCACTAGCCCGAKATATCCTCAGTCCGGAGGGCTACATGAAAAAACTGTGCAAACGATTAAATCCATGCTAAAGAAGGAGGAGGAATCAGGAGRATGTRTATCTAGCGCTACTGGACTACCGCAATACTCCAATAGACGGCGTTAGTCCCGCACAAGCTTTGATGAATAGATCACTCAAGTCTACGATACCAACAACTCCCATCCNAACAATGTTAATTGTAAATGTAAAATAAACAAAAGTAAATGTATCAATGATTGGTAATATCTGATTGCTTTCCAGAAACTGCTATAACAACAATTTGCCAAGGCCATTAACACAGCCAATCAGAAATCAACCCACAATTCTGCCAAACTTTTGCAAAAAAATTACAAGAGTTATAAACATGGCAGATTTTGATGAAAGTGTGAAACCTATTATAACAGGTTCACTTTACATCCAGTTTGATGAAAAGGAAGCTAATCAAGCTGGTATTGCAGAATGCGCGAAACAAATTAACAACACTGGCGAATTTTTCATATGTAATGTTGACATGCTCAAAACATTTTTGTCTAACAAAAAGCCGTGAATAATTAAAATTTAAGGGTGAAGTTTTATATAATACCGTACTTTTTTTCCTAAAAATCTTTCCCAAATCGGGGGTGCGGCTTATCTACGAGAAGACTTGTAAAAATGCCCGATAAAAACTAATTTGCATAAATCAGCATTCATGGTGCTACTTACTGCATAAAGGACATAAGTAATGTGATAAGTCTGTTTTACATGGCGGGAACATAAATTTTAATCCAAACTTCTCAGCATTACTATACATTCTCCGAAAATCTAGCCCTGATTTTCAATCGTCGTAACGCTCACAGTGCTGTTTACACGTACGATTTGAGTTGTGCGATAGCAAAGTGGTCATCAATAGGAATTACCAAAGTCACCCTTAATGAGGTTGACCGCTTGAGAGAGTTGACTAAGTTTGGTTAAAGACTTTGGAAGACCATAGGGCAAAGAAATACAGAAATCTAGTTTTGAGGAGATGCACAAGTGTTTCACATGCACTGACACTAAGCCATTTGCGTATTTTCCAAATATTGTGAATGTGGAAAAAGCAATATTAACATGCTGCTGTTATATGGCATTCTAAGCAAAAATTACCCCAATATTGCGGGCAGAAGAAGATGATAAAATGTCAAAGCCAAGAATATTAAGCGACACTTCTGATGAGAAAGGGCGATGTGCAGCTGAGAGTACCACTAGTTCAGTTTTAGCACCGTTAAGTTTAAGCTTGTTTTTAATCATCCATAAATCAATATCTTTGACACAAGCCTCAGACGTGGATTTTGCTGCTGTCATTTCACATAAAGACGTTGTAGAGAAAGAAATATATTACCAAGATAGGATTTGAACCACTCAAGAGCTAAGTCTCGAACTCCAAAAGATGCATATAGTCGATTTAAAAGAATATCATGGTTAACAGTGTCAAAGGCAGCAGAAAGGTCTAGCAGGACAAGAAAAACTGATTTGTTCTTATCAATTTCAAGCAAGATATCATTGTGTACTTTCAGAAGAGCAGTTTCCACGCTGTGGTTTTTCTTATATGCTGATTGCAATGGCACATGAATATTATTTTTCTCAAGATGTTGAATCAGCTGTTGCGCAACCACTTTTTCAAGACAAGAAAAGACAAGAAATTTAAATTAGAGAATTTAAATTAGAGGATTTTAACAGCAGATGGAAAATGACTGATGCTCCTGGATAATCTTTGAGTAGTAGCCATTTTTAGAAGATTTTAAAAGATTTTTGACAATATTACATTGTTCAACATATAATTCTCTGTCAACAGTCAAGTGAGAGCGACGCCATCTWTTCTCAAGTTTCCTACGCTTAGCTTTTTCAGTCCTCATTTCTGATGTATACCAGGGATTGTGAGGACGCAGAGAAACTATTAGTCCAGTCGCTGGCCCCTACTCTTTGCTCCGCTTTAAATTGTGTCGCCGAAGACTAGGGTCCAGCATTGTTTGCCTGCGCATGCTCGAAAAATTACCCAAGATCTTGGGTAATTCTTASAACGCATGATCAAATGCAAATCCGCTGACGTTTTTATCAAACATGGCGTCCCGTGAAGTATTTCAAAGTGTTTTGACTTCGAGTCTGTCTAAATTTCCAAAAAAATATGTATTAAANCAACTTTGTCAAGGAGCATTGTATAAAATAAAATTGTACTTAGAGACTAGAATGATTCATTGTTTTATTGCTACAAGCTGGTTTCGTATGGTCATCAGGGATGATGGCCACACTCGTCAGGCAAGTTACAATACCTTTATATCAAATGATGAACTGTGTGGGAATAAATCCTCTAAGTTTTATAACTTTTGTGAAAATAATAAGTTTTGAGATTTTTTTGGCTTTTGTTGAAKAAAGCACATAACAAGTGATTATTGACTGAGATGTAGATGTATTCATGTTATGGTTACTTTCTTCGTCTTTCTTAGTCTTAGTCATGTCAACTAAGCAATTATCTTATTAAGTGTATAATTGCTTTTGAGGTTTAGCCCATATTTCATAAAATAGCCCTAAACACAATTTGATTATTTTTTGTTATAAATGGAGTCTTATTTGTTTACTTGCAAAACTTWAGATATTATATGTAATGGGTGTAAACTGTTTCCAGGGGGTTTGAATTCCGAACAGCATATGGTGGCCTTGGAAGAGTTAGGAGCTTGTTACTTCCTGGAGTGCCAGTAATGGCTSTAACTGCAACTGCAACAAAAAGAACTATTTCAACAATAATTGACACTCTTGAAATGAGGGGCTGTTCAATTATCAAAGCTTCAATTATCAAAGCAACAGAAGTAATATCAGTTATTGTGTTGAAAAGCTTCCAAAATACCAGGATTATGACAGTGAGAAACAAGATGAAGTGTTTGGGAATTGCTTTAAGCATGTCCTTTGTGATTTAAAGGAAAACCAATTGGATAGCCAAAAATATCTTATTTTGTGCTATTCTAAATCTCTTTGTGTTGATATCTTTGAATATTTTGAGCAAAAATTATCAGATAGCTTCTGGGTTTCTACAACTACAGGTGAAAGGGAGAGAATGGTAGAATTGTATGTTAAAGAGACTGATGATCTAACTAAGAAAAGTGTTGTGGAAAGATTTACTTCAGTGGATGGCACTTTGAGAGTTGTAGTGGCAACTGTTGTTTTTGGTATGGGTGTGGACTGCCCCAATGTCAGGGAAGTGTATCATTTTAAATCACCTGCATCTCTCATGGATTATGTCCAAGAAAGTGGCAGGGCAGGAAGGGATGGCCTTCCTTCAAAAGCTGTTCTTTTTTACTCTTCCAAGGAATTYGGAAGTCGACTGTCAAGTTTTAAGAAGAAAGGAGGAAAACACAGTCAAAATCAGATTAGAGATCTAAATGATATGAAAGCCTACTGTGAAAACAAAACTATCTGCCGACGCTATTTCTTGCTAGAATATTTTGATGGATCAGAAAATGCTAAAGCAGAGATATCATGTAATCCTGTTACTTTGNAAATATATACGATAAAAACACTCAATGTTCAAAATGCGCCAGGTTAAATGAATCTATTCAAAACATTTCTTCTATTATTTGTCAATGGAGGTCTTGAGCTTTCTTTGTCTCTATAATTTGCAATATTTTCATAATTCGAATCGAATAGTTGCACGTGAGTGAACTGATTATTTGTTTACCTTTGTCAAGTGGAAACTTCTAACGCTTCTACTCTTCCAAGAAGGTTCTCTGTGATCATCTATAAACTCATATAGCATCCTTGTACTTATTTATCCTTGATTCTTTCCATATACACTTCCAAAATGTTTTTAAATGGCATGTCAACAGTAAATCAACAGACCGGCTGAAACTGTTATCGATTGCGTGACACACAGGAAGCCCAACACTACCTTTCATATCAATGCTGTATGTCAATTACAGTATATATTTTATTTTGTACTATTTTTGTCCCGTGTTGTGCAAAAAAGGGGGAAAAATTGTTGTGAAAATTGTTGTATAGATTACATTAGCCGTCTGTCTTGTATTGATTTGTTGACATAAGCGGGTGTGTACTAATCAAGCAAGTGCCGCATAAATTAGGTTAGTTGTCTAGAAAGAGTGTTGCCTTTAACCTTTGGCGTTGTTACATTTTTCCATACGAACTTTAAATTAACGAGTTTATAAGCAATTTAAAGGGCAATGGCCCGGTGTAGCTTTTATGGTACTTGGGGAGAGTGCGGAGTGAGTATAGATGATCCAGGAAACGCGAGATGCATTGCCGTAGTTGACTGTCATAGAAACATCAAAGGTCACCTTGCTGCCATCAAAGTAAACGATGCAGCGCTACAGACGGAGGCACAACTCATATTTGCAAGGGCGGGTAAGCTTCAATATGTCTATATGTATTGTCTATTGTTGTTTAAATGAAGGCAAACTTCCTAGTGAACAGTACGTGATTATAGTTACGCAAGTGAATGTCGGAGAAACTCGACACATTATCCAAAGCACGTAAAATCATTATTTTGAGATCAATTTTAATGAAACATTTAATACAACGCTWAAATGATTGGACATGGAGAAATATCAATACATTCTGTACACGTCTGTCTGAATTGTTTACGCGCACTAGCTGATAATGTAAGTCGCGACAAGTGTCTAAAAATAGAACAGTGCCGCTAATTATAATTGTTTTTAAAACTTAAAAATAAACAATGTAAAAACGCGTGCATTATTGAGAAAAAAGAGATAAAATGGGAGATTGATTTATCTTAAAGTATCTTTAACTTTAACTAGGGATTTTTGACATTACAACCTTACGAGAGAAAGAAAGTATATGCCCACGGCATCGAGATCTACTTGGCATTAGATGGAGAACTAAAAAGCGATTTTGTACCAGTCCAGTTGGCTGGTGTAAGCATCGTCAAGGCCAGTATAAAGGCGATAGAGGCATCTCCTTTGTGCAGTCAAAAGGTCTTTACAGTCTTACTAAGTTTGTACTTCAAATAGGATCACGTAAGTTYCCCAACTCTTATTGAAGATAAAAAAGAAAACGACTCTTGTACTGAATA